TTACATCAGCACACACTCGCCAGCCTTGCGATGCCCAACCGTGCTCTCGGCGAGGCAGGGCGCACCGAGGTACTCCATCACCAAGGGCCCGAGCCGCTGTGGCAGCTGGGGTGCACCACCCCGGAAACCTGGAGCGAGACCCGTGTAGGGTTTAGGGTTTAGAGTTTAGGGTTTAGGGTTTAGGGTTTGGGGTTTTGGGTTTAGGGTTTAGGGCTTAGGGCTTAGGGCTTAGGGCTTAGGGTTTAGGGTTTAGGGTTTAGGGGCGAACCTGTATCGCACCCCAAAACAAAAGGCAAAGAAAGGGTACCATTCTGGAGCAGAGCGTCCGCATAGAGTGCGCGTCCACATCCTTTGCTGCGATTTGATCGCACGCCGGGCGGCGATGACCGCTGGCCCTTGGGCCGTACCTGTCTCCGGCTCTGCCGCCCCTGCGCACGCCAGTAGCCAGCCCAAGAAACGCCTTAGTTGGGATGAAATGAACCCCATCAGCAGGGGCTTCGTTATGGTCCATATCTGCGCCCGAGGGATATTGTAGAAGAGGAGTAGTGGGTACAGAAAAGACTCATTCTAGGGCTCCTTCAAGGCGCGGGTCATCTGCAGTTACGCTCTGGGCGCAGATGTCCCAGGTCTCCTGAAGTTTCCCCTCGCTGCCTGCCAGCCTACGGAAGCCAGGCAGTGCCAGCAGCGCCCGGAAGAGCGCCAGGCGCCGGGAGAACGACAGCTGTCGCTGATCCTTGCTCATTCCTTGGGGGCTGAGCCCGGAAACTTCACATACACCATACTACAGAATACATTCTGCCGAGGTACTTCACATACACCATACTATAGAATCCCTTCTGTGTACATGAAACTTACGAAACACCTGGTAGAGCTCCTTCACCAAGGTTCCAAGCACGGCGCCCACGAAGCACAAGCTGGCGTAGCGCTGTAAGGCGCCATTCAGCAGCGACGACACGAAGCTTTCCTGGGCTTTGCTTCTTGAAGCCCCCCAAAGGTTTAGGGTTTAGGGTTTAGGGTAGAACCAGTAACTCCTATTAAGGTAAGGACCCTGAGAACCCCGAAGCCTCAAGCAAATCCTGGTGTCCACCTGCCGCACGTCGAAGCCAGAGTTTGGGTCCGCCTTCATGTCGGCAACATGTTGGACGTGGCGCACCCAGACCTCCACTGTGCTTGGAACACATTTCCGATGTTGGGGGGGTGCCTTGTGGTCATGTTTAGAAGGGAATCTTACTCTTTGGGGAGTTTATAATAGGGGCCCCATATTGTCGGATCCCAACGGGTTAGGAATTGGGGTTGGCCCCTCACCCATGTTAAACAATCGAGCCCAAACGCTACTTCCCAAATACGTTCCAGAGGCGAGCGGGTCGATGTCGATGAAAGCGCCCTCGACGGGAACCAGGCCGATGTTGATCAGAGACGGTGTGCCGTGCTCAAGCGCCAGGCCATGGAGCAGCGAGAGGAGCTCAGGTGTGGAGGAGGTCGTGGCAGCTTCATACCTCGAACAAAAACCCAATGAACCTTCCTGGGGGGGAGGGGGGAGAGAGTATATCCTCCTACTAGAACTCCTCTGAAGCTCTATTGAACCCTAAACCGTTTCAATTTCTCATCTGGCACGCCCCAAGGTACACATTCTTCCAGTTGAGATCCGGCAGACCATTCTTTGATCGAAGCGTTGTCATGGTCCCCCCCATGCTGGGCGGAACACCGTCGAAGACGGGCGACGAGGATGCCAGGGCAGGCTGGACGCCCGAGGCGTTTGAGCTGGATCACAGGCTTGGAGTTTTGGGTGGAGATTGGGATGTTGCTCCTTTTGCTAAGAGTCCTTGATAGGGATCCTGATAGAGGGTACTAGAACCCCTATGAAGGACTCGTAGAAGGGTGAACAGCCCAAGGTGGAGACCCTAAACCCTTAAACCCTAAACCCTTGAAGGCCGTGACGCCACCAGGAAAAGGCCCACAAAAAACCCCTTGACATACCATAGACACTGCAACTCTCGCGTGCGCTAAGTACACAACTCCCCAAGTTAAGCCCAGCCAGTCCCTCAAGCCACCCTCTACACCCCAGAGGTGCGCGAAAACACACATCCAAAAACCCAACATATTCTCGGGAAAAACAATAAACCCTAAACCCTAAACCCTAAACCCTAAACCCTAAACCCTAAACCCTAAACCCCTAAACCCTAAACCCTAAACCCTAAACCCTAAACCCTAAACCCTAAACCCTAAACCCTAAACCCTAAACCCTAAACCCTAAACCCTAAACCCTAAACCCTAAACCCTAAACCCTAAACCCAGCCAACAAGTCACCCGTGCGCCTCGTCGCCAGGTGACTCGCCGCTGGATGTCAATCTCCCTAACACCTGCTTAATCTAGGGAGGTCAAAGGCATGCTCCCTTGTTCTCTAACGCCTTTATACACTCTATTCTAAGATAGAGTAAGGGCCCAGTGGGAGCATACTCAGGGCCCATGGTTCCAACCGTAGACTGAAGTTGGCGAAGGAGAACGAGATGATGCAATAGTTTTATTGTTAAGTTCACAGTGGTTCTTGATCACCCTCAGCTCTTTGTTTGTGCATGTGATTGGTTACATATGCGGGGGCATCGGCGTTCTAGGACCAAGACTTTAAAGGGTCTTTTGGGCAGTTCCCTACATCATGTTTCCCTTTGTCTGTTTGAATTGTCTTGTTGGGGAAAGGGTGAGGGTACCTTACAGCACCGGTCCTTGCCCAAGAACTTGCAAGCCCCTGGAAACCTTTCACTCTACAAGCCCACTCGCTCGTAAACCTTGTGCCCGACTGCTATTCACACCATTGCTTGGAAGTCTGCGCAAGCATATAAATATGAAGAACGAGTCGCCCTTGCCAGGGCCTGGTCATGTCGAAGGTTGGGTCAAAACCAAGACGCTACCAAAGCTACACCCGAGAAGTAGCGAAGATGGGAGGAGCCCGGCGCAAGCAGAAGGGTGGGCATAAAGAAACCAGCAAGTCGTGACTGATCCCCCCTCCCCCCCACCCCCTGGGGTGCGTAGGCGTAGGGGCGACAATTTCCACATGGTAGTTCGAGCCGTTGCGCATAGGGGACATCAACCCTCTAGCCCTAAACCCTAAACCCTAAACCCTAAACCCTAAACCCTAAACCCTAAACCCTAAACCCTCAACCCTCAACCCTCAACCCTCAACCCTCAACCCTCAACCCAACCCTCGGTGACACCTGGACGTCGGAGTGGATCTCGGCCAGCTTGCCTGAGAGGCCCCCGGCTGCCAGAATCCCAGCACGGCTCTGCGCCTCGGAAAGCACCTCGCATGCTTAGGGTTTAGGGTTTAGGGTTTAGGGTTAGGGTTTAGGGTTTTTTAGGGTTTAGGGTTTAGGGTTTAGGGTTTAGGGTTTAGGGTTTAGGGTTTAGGGTTTAGGGTTTAGGGTTAAGGGTTAAGGGTTAAGGGTTAAGGGTTAAGGGTTAAGGGTTTAGGGTTTAGGGTTTAGGGTTTAGGGTTTAGGGTGTGTCAGGGGAGGGCGCGCGCTCGGGTGTGAAACACCCCGGGCCGCGCGCTCGCGTTGCCCGTCAACCCACCCCGGCCACCCAAACTATACTCTATTAGGGTCTAGGGTTTATGGAATTTACTTTCTTGTGCTCTGATGCTTGCTTTGATGTTTTTAAAGTTGCGCTGTTAGGGTTTAAGCTGGGGTTGGGGGTAGCCTCGGCCCTTTTCGGGCCTTCGGCGTGTCAGGGCCCGTAGAGGCCCTTATTTATTTGAAGGTCAGGGAAACCCTTTGTGTCTGCTTTTGGATTCCCCTTCTTTCAGGGCCTCAATTAAGCATCGATTTCACTACCAAAAAATCGCATTTTTCATTGCGGGTACGGGCATCCTGGGGTCCCCCTTCTTTTAGGGGGCCTTTTGAAGCCTTTTGAAGTATTTTGGTGGCTCTTGGGGTCTCTCGGGGCCTTGTTCGGACCTTCGGCGTGTCAGGGGCCGTAGAGGCTTTATTCATTTAAAGGTCAGGGAACCTATTAATGAGTTTTTCGCCAATGAGTCTTTCAATCGCTAGGGTTTAAGCTCGGGTTCGGGGTAGCCTCGGCCCTTTTCGGGCCTTCGGCAAGTTAGGGCCCGTAGAGGCCCTTATTTGCTTGAAGGCCTTCGTAGGGTTTTGCGGTGTTAGGGTTTAAGCTGGGGTTCGGGGTAGCCTCGGCCCTTTTCGGGCCTTCGGCACGTCAGGGCCCGTAGAGGCCCTAATATGCTTGAAGGCCGTCGTAGGGTTTTGCGGTGTCAGGGTTTAGGCTGGGGTTCGGGGTAGTTTCGGTCCTTTTCGGGCCTTCGGCACGTGGGCCCGTAGAGGTCCTTGCTGATTTAGGGGGAGCCATCGATTTCAAGACTAAAAGGCGGGCAGGGGCCTAAAAACAATGTTTTCAATATTCTCATTGTGGGCACGGACAAATCTTGTGGTCCCCCTTCTTTTAGTGGGCCTTTTGAAGCTTTTGAAGCTTTTGGTGGCTCTTGGCGCCTCTTGGGGGCTTCCTAGGCCCTTAGCCGAGCCGTGTTAGGCCCTTGGTCCGGCAAGGGGCCTTGGCCAAGGGGGTCTTGTTGGGGGTCCTTGACTCAGGGGTCTTGGCGGGTCCTTGGCTCCCTTGCGGGGGCCCTTGGCCTGGGCCCTTGGCTGACAGGCGGCCCTTGCCTTGGCGGAAACCTATTGGCCGGGAAGCCCTTGGCCCGGCAGGCCCTTGGCCCGGGCACCCTTGGCGGCTTGGGCCGGGTGCTTGGTCCTGGAAGGTTGGCCGGCTCAAGGGCCCTTGGCTCAAAGGGCCTTGGCGAGGGGCCGGGGGGCCCTTGGCCCGGGGGGCCCTTGGCCCGGGGGGCCCTTGGCCCGGGGGGCCCTTGGCCCGGGGGGCCCTTGGCCCCAACGGCTTTTGGTCAGGAGTTCGGGCACCCTTGGCCCGGGGCCTGGCCCGAGGGGGGGGGCCCTTGGCCCGGGGAGCCCTTGGCCCAAAAGGCCCTTGGCCCGGGGGGCCCTTGGCCCGGGGGGCCCTTGGCCGGGGGGCCTTGGCCCGGGGCCTGGAAATCCGTGAAAAAGCCCCCAAAATCACGAAATTGAGCAACCAGCCTGCCTGGACCCCTCGCCAGCCTCCTGGTCCAGGAATCCAGCTACCAGGGACCAGGGGGCCCCCGGGGGGGGGGGCCCGACAAACCCTGAACCCAAAACCCTGAACCGACCTCTAGAGGCAAGGGGTTACGATTTGGGGTTATACTTTAGCTACGCTAAAGGTGGTCTGGGTGCCGGCCATCCCTTAGCCGAGTACTGACGTTGTCGTAAAAAAGGCCGATGTCCGTTGGCCTGTCCAGGACAGACGGTGAGGCTTAACCCTCCCCTTTCCGTTTCTCTTTTCGCTTGGGCGCTCGGGCTGTAAGGCCCTCGGCCGAGCGTTCGGGGTCTGTCGCTCGACGGAAGCGACCCCTCACTTAGTTTAGGGTTTAGGGTTTAGGGTTTAGGGTTTAGGGTTTAGGGTTTAGGGTTTAGGGTTTAGGGTTCAGGGTCTGTAGGGTTTTAAGTTTAGGGTTTAGGGTCTAGGGTTCATTTGTGAAGGTTTGGGGTTTGGGGTTTGGGGTTTTGCTGGGGTTAAGTGTTCAAGCTTCGGGGTTGATTATCAGGATTTGAGGCTTTGGGTGTTAGTTCAGTGAGGATTGGATAGGGTTCTAGGCCTAAACCCTAAACCCTAAATCCCAAATCCCAAATCTCAAGCCCCCAAATCTCCACACCCGAAACCCTAAACCCTAAACCCTAAACCCTAAACCCGAAAAACTAAACCTCTCCTACCATATATATTTAAATGTTAAACCCCTTCGTGGATTTGGGCACAAACCTTCGTGGATTTGGGCACAAACCTTCGTGGATTTGGGCACAAACCTTCGTGGATTTGGGCACAAGCCGGCCTCGAAGGGCCAGGGTTCAGGTTTTTCAACGCTTTTCGCCGGCGTCGGGGGGCCAGGGTTCAGGTTTTTCACGGGATTTGTGCCCAAATCCACGAAGGTTTGTGCCCAAATCCACGAAGGTTTGTGCCCAAATCCACGAAGGTTTGTGCCCAAATCCACGAAGGCCATGAACATTATAAAGGTTCGAGGCTTCGTGGATTTGGGCACAAACCTTCGTGGATTTGGGCACAAACCTTCGTGGATTTGGGCACAAACCTTCGTGGATTTGGGCACAAACCTTCGTGGATTTGGGCACAAACCTTCGTGGATTTGGGCACAAACCTTCGTGGATTTGGGCACAAGCCGGCCTCGAAGGGCCAGGGTTCGGGTTTCTCAACGTTTTTCATCGACGTGTTTTTCATTGGTTTTTCAGGTTGTCCACTGGTTGTTTAGCTTTTCCGTAGGCGTGGGGGCTCCAGGGTTCAAGTTTTTCACTGTTTTTTTTTCACGGGCCGGAGGGGGCAGGGTTCAGGTTTTTCACTGGCCTCTCGAAGGGCCGGGGTTCAGGTTTTTCACTGGCTTTTCAAGTTTTCCACTGGTTGTTTAGCTTTTTCGTAGGCGTGGGGGCTCCAGGGTTCTCACTGTTTTTTTTTTTCACGGGCTGGAGGGGCCAGGGTTCAGGATTTTCACTGGCCTCTCGAAGGGCCAGGGTTCAGGTTTTTCACTGGTTTTCTATGTTTTCCACCGATGGTTCAGTTTCTTCGTAGGCTTGGGGGCTCCGGGGTTCAGGTT